AGCCTGGGGGGCGCCGGTGCTCCAGGTGTATCCGATCCCAAGCTGCTAGCCCCACGGAGTCATTTACATTCTTCTTTCATTCTGCAGCTGGGCGTTACTGATCCACAGGTGTGATGGCGGCTCTGTCCCGGGAAAAAGATCCACAGCCTCACCATTAGAAATGCAGTTCATTTACTGCCACCCACTCCGCTTGGAGCATGGCATTCTGGGATGCCCTTTTTTAGGAACACGCCGCGATTGACTGGGGACGCGGCGGGTTGCAGATATTTAGCCAGAAGCGTTTCCCCCAGAATGCCCAAATAAAATGCTGCATTCACAGCTGCCTTTGTTATGGAAATGGGGCCTTTGTTTGCTGTTCGGGCTGCTGCCGCTTTCCTGCCGTTCTTAGGCGGCGAGCTTCACCAGCACAATCTGGATAAAAATAGTGCTCACATGGTTCCTGAATAGCTGCGGTGTTTCTGGCTACCTGTCACAGTGCCATTTGCCGGGGGGGGGGGGGACACATCACCCTCTGCTCTAAAGTCCAGTTGTATAGATGATCATTTGTGTGAATTATAAGATCTCTATTGTACACCTTTCACTTTCACAATAATCTGTGCTGCTGATAAACCTTCAGATTCATCAGTGATGGAGGTATGAGAATTTGGTGGGTGGGGTTTTTGTGTCCATCACTTATTTACCACTTCACATCAGTTATCCGATTGGCTGCAGCTGTTGACTGACAGCAGAAGCTAATCCTGCCCTCCATGTGTCTGACTGACACTGTTAATGGCCTGATGCTGTATTTGCTCTCTGCTAGTAGCAGGGTTCTGTCAGCACACTTTTGTCACCCATCTGTAACAGCAGCTGTGATCCAAGCTCAGAGCCAGAGGTCCAAATGGGCCTACAGGCCCTGCCCATCCCCCACACAGGGTCCCTAGCTGGCCCCCAGTTATCCGACTCCTCGTTTGTGTGAGAGCACTGGGGTTCTGCAAGCTGATTTCCCCGGGAGATGCGCGCGAAGAACAGGCCGGGGAATGGTTAACAAGACGGAAAGAGGGGAACCAAACGGAACCCTCTGAAGGCCCATCTCCCGGAGCCAGTGCTGGTGCTAATTAGGGATTTAGAAACAGCATAGAACTCGATCTGCAGAGATCTGTGGAGCGAATCTGAGACATTCGGATTTACGGTGTCCACACAGCCATTCAGCGGCATGGAAGCTGTTTGAATGAGGGGATGATGCCTGGAAAACGCGCCCGTTCTGGAGTCTGGCCTGCGCTGGGGGGTGGGTGGTTATTTGGGGTTGAGCGGAGCACTTGTGGTGCGACAGCTGGACAAACAGGAGTGAGATCCCAGAGCAGGCGGCCCCAGACTGGGCGGCCCAGGTCCCCGGGGGGGAGCTGCTTGCTGGGGGTATGCAGGAATGCAGGGGGCTGTGTTTCGGGGAAAGGGGGGTGTGCTCCCCACACCTGCAGCCCTACACCTCTGACAGGGAAGCCCCCATGCTCCACATCTGGGCCAACATCTGCGAGCCTGGATCTGCAAAGGTAACTCGGGTTCAGGTGGCTGATAAAATCACGGCGGTAAGAGGCTAATGAGGCCCCCATAAAACGACTTGTTTTGCTGGTTCTGGGGAGTGGCTATTTGAACTGCAGATTGGACTCTTCCCATCATAATAGAGTCAAGCTGGGGACCTTTGAGCCACTTTCAGCTGGGATCCAGTTTGTTAGCTCGCCCCCATGGAGGTCCTCATCTGTCAAGCTAAGATGGTTACTCACACACTTGTGTTACCCACAATGCTCTTTGGTGGCAGATCGAGGTGGAGAATGTGTCCCTTCACCTGTGGTACAGTCTTCTATGTGCCCCTGCCCTTGTTTATAAGCACCAACCAGGGCTCCCCTGCAAGATTCCCTGTCAGCTCAGCTGTAGCTCTCGTTCTTTATGTGACGCCACAGGAAAGCTCTGCACTTGCTTGTGTTTGCAATCAGGTGGGAGTAGTGATGGAACATTATCTTGGCTGTTTGTGGCACCTATATCCATGGGGAACACAAACTCTCAGCAGAAAGCTTTTGCTGCTAAACCTTCCCCTGGTGTGAGCCTCCTCCTAATGTGGGGGCCTCCCTTCTCCGTATGTGTGAGCCAGCTCTTGGTGTGTGATCCTCCTCCTGCTGTGTGAACCTGCTCCTGGTGCGTGAACATGCTCCTGGTGTGTGAGCCTCTTCTTGATGTGTGAGCCTCCTCTTAGTGTGTAAGCCTCCTCTTGATATGTGAGCCTCCTCTTGATGTGTGAGCCTCCTCTTAGTGTGTAAGCCTCCTCTTGATATGTGAGCCTCCTCTTGATGTGTGAGCCTCCTCTTAGTGTGTAAGCCTCCTCTTGATATGTGAGCCTCCTCTTGATGTGTGAGCCTCCTCCTAATGTGTGAGCCTCCTCTTGATGTGTGAGCCTCCTCTTGATGTGTGAGCCTCCTCTTGATGTGTACGCCTCCTCTTGATGTGTGAGCCTCCTCCTAATGTGTGAGCCTCCTCTTGATGTGTGAGCCTCCTCTTGATGTGTGAGCCTCCTCTTGATATGTGAGCCAGCTCCTGGTGTATGAGCCAGATCCCTCTTGGCTAATCTCATTGCCATGGCTGCCACTGAATGGGTCTGGAATTGCTCATGCATTGTGTATGAGCATGTGCCGAGTGTTTCGGGGAGGGGGGTGGGGGTAGAGTTTCTGTTCTCAGATGAATAAGAGCATCTACCTGTCCAAACAAAGCCTCCATCCCCTCTTGCCTGGCATACTCTACCAGAGCAACATTCTGTTGGTCCTGCCTGCACCTTCACAGGGAGGCTAAAGATCTCCCTGGAGACCTGTTGAACCCTCAGCAAACCGCAGGCCCTCTTCAGATAAGCCGTGTTTGATGGCCTCTTGACTCTGCGGCCCTGTGGGCTAACGGCGTTTTAACCACAAGCGCCCACCGGCCAGCTGGCACTGGGATCCCGTTTCCGGAGAGCTTGTCAGCATCTGGCCTTGAGTAGACGTCCATCTTGGTCACGGTGATGTAGAAATGAGAACATGAGAGCTGTGTAGGAGTTACGGGACAATGGGTATGTGCTCTCCTGGTGTGTAAGCTGAGGAGCACATGTAGGAGAGGGATTCTGTTGAGAAGGTGCTACTCCTTCACATCCGTCCTGCTGACAGCCTCTGTTTGATCTTGTGCCTCAGTGTTATTCAAGACACCAAGAATGTGGCCATAGTCAGGTTTCTGCACACATTGAGTAATATGTCAGGCATATAAGTACTAAAATCTCTCTGTGAAACCAGTAGGACACTGTGGTGACTTTCTGTTGGGTCTCAGTGTGGTAAGTTCAGGCTGGGGAAACATCAGTATTTCTCAGAAACGTCTGGGATGCCCTTGGCCTGTCATTCTCCATTCCTTCTTGTGACATTGTGTCCTGTTACCATGGAGACGGCCTTCACCGCATCCCTGGTGATGACTTTGTCATTTCCTGTTCTGTAGTTCTTGGTATTCGCTGCTTTCTGGTGACAAGCTCTCTCACAACATGTATCTGTAACGTTCTCAGGGTTTGGTTAAATCCCTGGTCTGTACCTGATCTGGAGGAATAGCAGTCATGCTGCTGGGGTCATGAAGAGTGAGGTCAGGGGTCAAAGGTCAGCTGCTGGGTTCCTCTCTGTAATGTTTGCTGAACCAGATTAGTAGGCACTGAGATGCCAGCTAAAATATGTAGTTACATTTGAAAAAACCCACAACTATAAATGAATGTCATATGAAAAGTTTTTTTTTCTGTGGGGCTACATGCAGATAAATCAGGTAAATCTCAGACGTAAATAAATATTAAGGAGCAGTTTGAGCCGAGCAGCTAATTTTAGCCAGACATTGTTTTGTCAAAAGGTAAATCTCAACTACTATCTTCTGGCAGCAGGACTTGAGGAACATGCCGACTTAATTCAGGGTTTCTGCTTGTCTATGTCATAAATCTAGGGCAGCAAGTTTGACAAAAACAAATGGTCTTCAAAGCTTTGTAGCTGAAAATGGCGGTCGGGTCACGCCCCCTGGTCCCACCCGTGTCCCCATTACCGGGTCCTTCTGTTTGGGCCGGTCACCATCTCCATAAGAAGAGGTCCCCACAGCTAGGCATGCCCGTGCGTGTGAGAGTAAACATAGTGGAAAGCGATGACCTAGGGTTCCTACCCATAATGCTCAGCGTGGCTGTCGCTTGGGTGATAACTGCGGCTCGTGTGTGAAGGTGCTCTGCCAGTGTGGCCTAGCGGCGCTGGTGTCAGGTTACTGGGATCCAATTACGCAGGAGTCCGATAAACACTCAGAGCGGTGCGTGTCGCGAAGTTAAACATTCAGCTGTTTGGTGGAGCTCAGACGTGGCCTGGATACTGTCTCACGCATGATCCAGAGCAGGGATCCCGGGTGATCTGTTTGACACCTCCTTACAAGCCCACACAGAGAGCTCATCATATTCAGATCCTGCGTTTTGTAAAACTAGCAACATCTCTCTGCTCTGATATTCAGCAACTGTTTAAGAAATGAAAATGAGATTAAACATCGACCTGTTTGTTTTGTAGGTAAACCAGTAACACGGCTACAGCTAATCTAATCTTGGCTTCGTAGCTTGGGAAACAAAAACAGTGCTGTTCTGAACTGAAGCCACATTGCTCAGGCTCCAACTGCTTTAATGGCTTAGAGTGCAGAAAGGCCATGTTTGATGACACTGCAGTAAAAACTCTGCTGTGTGAGCTTTGCTTTAAGTGCTCTCTGGCTCCTGCTCCTTACTATTAACTGTAGGTGAAAGTTCCCAAATTCCGTCAATATCTGTCTGACATATTCTAAATGTATCCTTTGGGATGGTTCTGTCCATCGTCCTGAGCTTATTGCAAGAGCTGCGCTTGCTATTATGATCTCACAAATTTCTTTAACGGGAACAGTGACAGTGATGTACAGTAACTGCCCGTTAACCTTCCTGCATTTTGATTTCCGTCTTTTCTCTTGGTTTATCCGATCGACAGCCCAACATCGGAAGGCTGGGAATTCCTCATGGACCCTCCGGGGAGAAGGTGGCTGTGGTCGCCATCGACGACTGCGACATCGCCATGGCGATACGCTTCGGCGGTCAGATCAGCAACTACTCGTGTGCGGCCCAGGGAACTCAGACTGGCCTCAAGAAGTGAGCGAGCGACCTTCTGTTTCCGTCCCATTTGGGTCCGTTAATTCTGCCCCCTCCCAGTTTCTGGGGTCATTTCAGGAGTATTATGTGGATTCTGAAGTATGAAGAAGCAAATGTTTTAACGCTGAATTATGTTCCTGTTCCCATGCACCTATTATGTCTCTATAATCTCCCTGGATGGATGTGCCCAGTTCAGTTAAGAACTTTATGAAGCTGAAAATATCACAGAACTTAATCTTATCTCCCCTCTGTTTACATTCTCAAGTAATTGCTGAGCTATCTAAGAGCGGTGGCTGAGATCGCAGGGTGGAGCGATTGTGTATTCAAGCCAATTTAATAAAAATCTGAGAGCAAACACTGGAGACATACACAGCCAGCCCTCGTCTGATAAGCGATGAGCGGGTTGATAACTGCCATTTAACTCCTGATCTTCAAATTCAAATTCAAATTCAAAAAACTTTATTTGTCCCTGAGGGGCAATTAAAGCACACAGGGCAGTTGAACAAGGACGCAGTGACGTGAAGTGCAACAGTGATTGCAGTGTTTAGAAGGTTCTGTGCAAAATTGCAGTCAATCAGGTAGATGGGAACTGAATAAATATGTAAAAGGGAGGGATTGTTAGTGGGCATGGAGGAGGGGGTCAAGTGCAGGCTGAATGATGGCTTCCAGTGCAGGGAGGCGGGGGGGGGGGGGGGGGAGAGAAGTCTGTGAGTTGAGGAGTTGAACAGCCCTGGGAACAAAGGTCACTCTCCTCCTCTGTGTCCTGCAGCCGGGACAGCGGAGCCGTCGTCCTGAGGGAAGCCACTCAAACTCCGGGTACAGAGCATGGGAGGGTCCTGCAGAATCCTGCATGCTGCTCTTACAGTTTGCTGCTCACACAGGGTTGAAAGTGCTTTGACCGGAAGTCCGATGATCTTAGATCAGAATTTCCCTATGTTGTGAAGGCGGGTCCTGTGCTGCAGGCTGGTGGATTGATACCAGCAGCCGATGGAAAAACAGAGGACACTCTCAATGAAGGAGTAGTAGAAGGTTCTAAGCATGACCTTGTTGACCCCAAAGCTGTCGAGCTTTCTTAGGAGATATTGCCGCTGCTGACATCTCCTTAGAATGTCCTCGGTGTTGGAGGCAAACTTTAGGGTGCAGTCAAAGATGGTGCCCAGATATTTGTGCTCCTCCACCACCACTGTCTGCCCGTGGATTATGCTGATCTGTGGGTGACAGAGGGGTGACAGCAGAGTGACAGGTACACTCTGTACTGCCTATGCCTGCCTCACACATTTCAACTTGAAATGCAGTCAGAAAGCTGCAGTCAGAAACACACACACACAGCTCTCAATGAGGACAGCAGTCAAAGGTCACTTAGGGTCCTCGGTTTGTGAGTATATAGCTGGGGTTAATAAATCACATGGGCACACAATAATGGTGATTATTTTTCACACCGGTCTTTTGTTTGCTCATTATATGACTTTTTAAGCATCGGATGTGAGGGTTTGCTGGTACCAGTGCCTCTCTGATTGAGTCTCTTGTGTGTCCTGGGAAGATAGCCAGTCCCCCTGCCCTGATAAGTGACCCTCAGGCTCCATCACTGCAGAGAGCGACATTCCCTAGAGAAGCTCTCTGCTCACTTCCCTCCAGGTCCCTGGATCTGACGGGGCCGCTTCTCCTGGGCGGGGTACCCAACCTCCCTGAGGACTTCCCGGTGCGGAACCGGGACTTTGTGGGCTGCATGAGGAACCTGACGGTGGACAGCCAACCCATGGACATGGCGAGCTTCATCGCCAACAACGGCACCATCGCAGGTCCGTGAGCTGGAGGGGAATCGCCTGGCACCGTCTCAGAGCTCCCTGTTGCTTTGTGACGCTGTTGTACTTTATGATGAGGTAACATAGAGACCGTGCTTCATTCTCGCATCTCCTGTATTCCTTCCCGAAACTCCCACGCAGGCTGTGCAGCGAAGCGTAACTTCTGCTCCACCAGCGTGTGCCAGAACGGCGGCACTTGCGCGAACGAGTGGAACACATACTCCTGCGACTGTCCTCTACACTATGGGGGCAAGAACTGCGAGCAAGGTGAGGCGGGAAGGGAAAGTGAGGCGTGAGAGAGTGAGACACAGTGACCACCGTGTGGGTAAAAAAATGAGGAAATGAAGGACTCATCAGATTAAAGCGAATGACTGGGAATTCCCCTTTAAGACACCTCGCATGCGTGATCGTCTGGCACTGTGGAGGAAGCTTGTTTGAAGGAGAACCGTGGTCTGGGGGCAATGCTGGAGAGGTTAAATCTGCTGATTACACCAGCCTCGTGTGCAGGAAGCAGACGGAGGGATTAATGTCTCCCAGCTTCCTGTGACGGAAAAGTCTCCTTAACCAGTGAAATAACAGGAGCAGGAAGAGCGTCTCTGCTGATGTCTGACCGCCTCACCACCATGTGAAATGGCCGGATCTGTCCTGTTTTTACACAAACGGCAGAGGCAGTCAGCGCATTTACAGGCGAACCACTGGGAGTTGTTTTACTCGCCTGGTCGTCTGAGCACAAAATCGCAAAATGGCCTCTGTGATTCTCGCAGGAGGTTATCTTAAGTAAATGACAAACTACCTGTAGTCCTCTGTTTTACTGACAGGCAGGTAGCAGTCGGCAGGGGCGCCGTAAGGGGGAGGAAAGCTAGGACGATTCCAAGGGCCCCTGAGTGACAGGGGCCCTAAAAAATTAGGAAAATAACTGGATTGGTTTGGACTGGAGGGCCTAATATGATATGCTTTCATGGGGCCCAAAATCTCTAGCAACGCCCCTGGCAGTCGGTGAGGAAGGGGGTGATGATTCACCCGTCAGTTTGTGGCGTACCTTGATTCGCCTGTCAGTTTGTGGCGTGTGATGAGTGCTGTTTTGTGAGCTTCTCCGATGGTTTAATGCTGAGTGACACGCCGGCCCAGTTGGAACAATTAGTGTGACGAGCTTCCGTGTTGCGGTGGCTTTGTGGCGAGGCCTGGGTTATTCTAGGAGACACGTCAGGAAAAACTCAGATAGAGTCACAAGAATGGATGGGGAAATTACCCAGGATTCCCTATGAGGCTGGGATTACCGTCCCTCGTATTACTGTCTATTACTGCATATGATGGTATATCCCCATGTGCAGTTCAGCTTAATTCCTTTCACCAGGTGAAGAGGTTCTAAGATGTTTCATCCATTATGGAGAGAGAATCCTTGACCAGGAGTGAGACTCTTTTATGCACTCTGATGGAGGGAATATGCCTCACAGGGGAGTGCAGACATTTTGAATTGTTCACCAGTTTCCGGGTAACGATTACAAAAGCAGCACGGTAACGCTGGTGATACTGTGTCTGCTTCGGGCTCATCAGTCTTCCGAAGTTTCCTCTGTGAGATGATCCTCCTGTCAGTCACTGTCTCGGACATGTCGGCTGCCGCTGTTAAATTCCGCATTTTGTTTTTCTTCTTTTCCTCTTGTTCTCGTGTGTTTTCTTTTTTCTTTTTTTTTGAGGAACGCTGGCTGGCGTGACCCTCATGCTCTCTCCTGCCATCCCACAGCCATGCTGTCCCCTCAGTTCTTCGACGGCAACGCGCTGGTGTCCTGGACCGAGCCTGACATCACCATCGCCATCCCCTGGTACTTGGGCCTCATGTTCCGCACGCGGCAGAGCGACGGGATGCTGATGCAGGCCGGTGCTGGCGATACCTCCACCATCAACCTGCTGGTGCGTGAAGCCTTCGCCGTGCCCGCAAACATGAGTGTTTGTTGTGATTAGTACAGGTGTTGTATGTCGTCTTTCTCTCTTCAGCAGACAGGGAAGCAGATTATCTGCTTTATTTTTTTCTTTTCTCTTTTTTTTTGTTTTTTTTTTCTCTCCTCTCTCTCCCTCTCTCTCTTTCCCCCTTCTTCTCCTTTGTTTCCCCCCTACTCTCTCCCTCTCCTTCTCGTGAGGAAGTAAATAAAAAAAAACAAAAAAAAAACATGAGTGTTCCTTATTGGCCAGGACTGCACTGAGGACCCCGCCCACGATGAGTCACATTCAGATGGCATTAAGGGTGCAGTGTGTGTGTCTTGTGGTCTTTTCTAGTTTTATTGCCAAAATTATTAAATAAAATGAGGAACAGCATAATTACCCAAGTTCTGACCCTGCTGTGTGTTCCTGTGGCCTTTTACCTTTTTTTTTGTTTTTTTTTGCTTGAGTAGGCAGCATTCCTGAGCTGACAGGAAACAGATCCTCGCTTATTGTAACATAACCGCGTTGGTGTGTGGCCTTGTACACTGGATCCTTTTTGATCTTAACCATAATCCTCGTGTTAAGCCCTGTAGGTCTTCTGTGTTCAGTCATAAGTATATCATAAACATCTCTTTCAGTTTATAGAGAAAATCTGTGTTTAGTTTGCATGTTTTGGGAGAGTGTAAAGTACAAAGCAGGGGCCAATTGGACAGAGAGGCCAGAGTGTGTACCTGACGATCCAGGGAAACAGATTAATCAATGTGCCCTGTACCGGCATATTGTTTCAGATCAGAAATAAGCACCTGCATTTCGAGGTCTTCCTCAGGGATGGCCAGATTGCCTCGCTGGAGTTCCCCCAGGTCCGCGTGAACGACGGCGAGTGGCACCATGTCCTGGTGGAGCTCAAGAGCATCAAGGATGGAAAAGACATCAAGTACATGGCCAAGGTGTCTCTGGACTACAGCATGTTCCAGGTGAACATCCTGAGTGCAAGTCTGTCCACCTATACCTGTTCATTTCATCCCATATCCCCAACAAAGTCCGACTAGCTCCTCCCAGTGCTGTGAGGTGCTGCAGTTGCTCCTGCAGATGCAGTAATGTGGCTGTATGGGACACAGCTTCAGGGGAGAAACACAGGGTGGCATTTTCAGTAGGTGTGTCCTGTCAGGTGCATAATGGTAACCTCAGGCTCTGCCACACAGCGCACAGTGGAGATCGGCAATGAACTTCCGGGTCAGAGGTTAAAGAGGCTGTTTGTGGGAGGCCTTCAGGGCCAGGGTGACTCGGTCCAGCATGGCTTTCAGGGCTGCATGCAGGTGAGTCCAATTCCTGCCTGTAGAGGCACTGTCTGCACCCGTCACGCATCCTCACAGAATCCAAGCGTCTTCATGCATGTTCTGCAGGGCGTGCGCATGGGCGAGACGGCCACCAACACGGGCAACGTCAACATGCTGCAGGGGCTGAAGGTGCGGGTGCAGGAGGGCTGCAGCATGTCTGACCCATGCGACGCCACTGTCTGCCCAGAGCACAGCCACTGCAGCGACGACTGGAATACCCACACATGCGTCTGCGACCCAGGTGACCCTCTGACCCAGCCTCAGAAAAACACAATCTTTCGCTTTCCATTTTTTCCTTAGACACAATAATCAGCTGCATGACTCCTTACCTGCTGTGCAGATGTAGTCACTGTTTGCTCTCTACTGCCCCCCGCAGGCTATTTTGGGAAGGAGTGCTTAGACGCTTGCTACCTCAACCCTTGTGAACATGTGTCCAGCTGCGTGCACAAGCCAAGCTCCTCTCATGGCTACACCTGTGAGTGTGGCCAGAACTACTACGGACAGTACTGCGAGAACAAGTATGACCCGCACACCTACTCTGAACCTCACAATGTGTGTCTGTGTGTATCTCTGTGTCTATGTATATGTCTGTATCCCTGTGTGTGTATCTCTCTATATTTGTACTTCTGGCCCTACCTCCCTTCCCCATCTCACTGTGTACCCGTGTGTGTGTGTGTGTGTGTGTGCCTGCGTGCATACCTGTGTCTGTCTGTGTGTAACCATGTGCGTAGCTTGGTGTGTACCTATGTATGTATACCTGTGTGTACCTGTGTGCATATCTCGGTGTGTATCTATGTGTGTGTGTGTCTGTGTGCACCCATGTGTGTACCTGGGTGTGTACCTATGTGTGTGTGTGTGTGTGTCTGTGTGTACCTGTGTGCACACCTGGATGTGTACCTATGTGTGTGTGTGTCTGTGTGTACCTGTGTACACCTGGATGTGTACCTATGTGTGTGTGTGTGTGTGTGTACCTGTGTACACCTGGATGTGTACCTATGTGTGTGTGTGTGTGTGTGTCTGTGTGTACCCGTGTGTGTACCTGGATGTGTACCTATGTGTGTGTGTGTGTACCTGTATGTGTACCTCCTGCTCTCGCTCCCATCCCCCCCTCTCTGAAATCTCCCTCAGGCTACTCTGTCGCAGTTCTGGCTGCGGCTCCACAGCCGGAAGAATCGCACTAACCGAGTTCCTGCATGTCGCTACAGGCGTCTTCTGTCCCGCCTGCCTCGCTGCACCCCCCTCCCCCCTTCTTTAGAAGAACCCCTCTCCCCCAAAGATGTATCTAGCCCCTCCCGTGGCCTTCATTTGCTAGCCTCTTGCTTGACGCTCTGCTCCCTGAGCCCAGCAGACTATCCAGAAGCAGATCAGGTCTTTTGAACCATTTGGTGCCACTTGTATATGTTGTGATGTGACGTAGAGCAGGTCTCACGCTCGCTGGTGTGTCACGGCACTGCTGTCAGCTGTCACCTGTCCCTACTGTCCCCTGAACCTGTTGCGAGCCATGATTCTTCTTAAGTGATTTATAGCAAAGTGTCCCCTATGGCTCAGTGACCAGAGTGACAGCCGATATGAAACATGTGCTGATAAAGGGAAACCTGAGATGCTGGGACCCCATGGGCCCCCAACAGGCCCCCAGCTGCTGGCGTCAAGCTCCACTTAGTCTTGGAGGCCTGTGGGCAGAGGGGCTTCCCGCCCCAGCAGCTGCCTCTGATTGTTTATTCTTTGGTGGGCGGAGCCAGCATCTGTGGGGTTATCATGTGCTTCTGCTGCTCTTCTCCCATAGAATGAATCAGCCATGCCCCCACGGTTGGTGGGGGAGCACTGTTTGCGGGCCATGTGACTGTGATGTCACCATGGGCTTCAAATCGGACTGCAACAAGACAACGGGCGAGTGCTCCTGCAAGGTGAGGCCAGCGTTCCTTTGATGGGGGCTTCTTTGGGCCTGGGGGAGACTTCCTTACTCCTCTGATGTCTGTTAGAAGCAGAAGCTTGTGAGCTTTATGAATGTGTTACCCCTCTTCGCCCCATAGGACAACTACTACAGACCCAAGGATGACGACACCTGTTACCCATGTGACTGCTTCCCCTTGGGGGCCCACTCTCGCACCTGCGACCCCGTCACCGGCCAGTGCTCCTGCAAGGCAGGGGTCATCGGCAGGCAGTGCAACCGCTGCGACAGCCCTTTCGCCGAGGTGACCGGCAACGGCTGTGAGGGTACGACCTCGTCCCGCAGCGTCATTACAGAACATCCACAAGCCATTCCAAGATAGCTGAGCCGACTTCCTGGACACAGGGCAGGCATGGATCCTGCCGTTTAAAGATGGCACGAGAACCTGTTCTATCTTCTCAATGGAATGTTATTTAAGATACTTTAATAACCGTGCGACGGTTTGTTGCTCGATTTTGGCGGTTAAACAGACTGGCTCATTGTGGCTTCTTTGGGTGTACTGCTTCTGAATGCTGTCCTCCACCCTCTGTTTGATCTGCAGTTGTTTACGAGGGCTGCCCTAAGGCCTTTAATGCAGGAATATGGTGGCCCAGGACCAAGTTTGGGCGTCCCGCAGCTGTGAATTGCCCCAAGGGATCCATTGGTAAACACCTACTGTCTTATATCCTTGGGAAAGTTATTACATGATTTCCACTTATGTTTGCTGTGAGCAGGAAATTCTCGCAAATGTCTTTCATTCTGTCGTTCTTAGATACGCAGCTAATCTGAGCCGTAAGGTTCCTCAGAGTCAACCAAGCTCTGACGTGCTGTGTTTGGTCGAGCTTTCCGATTAATCGCTCCCATTGGCTGCGAATATGACTCTTGTTGGAGCTTGCTGAATGTAGTCTTCGTGGTTTTCGAGCGCTTGCAGCAGCTCAGATGGACAGATGGAGCCTGAATGCTGTGTAGATTCCGAGTCGATTCTTTGTAGATTCTGAGTCAATTCTTTGTAGATGTTGAGTAAATGCTGTGTAGATGCTGAGTAGATGCTGTGTAGATGCTGTTGGTGGCCCACCGGGCCAGCAGGTGGCTTTTCTGCAGGACCTCAGCTAACACTGGTTTTATCAGTGAACCATTCATTTTACTGCTCTGTCTGATGGGCACTTTGAAGGGGTTTTGGACCAAAGCTTCTCCTGCTTGTGATTTTGTACCTTCTAAAAACCTTACCTTCACTGGGTGATGTTCCCAGCTGTGACACTGCATGTCTCATCGCTCCGTCTTGTCTCCCAGGGACAGCCATTCGGCACTGTGGTGACGAGACGGGCTGGCTTCCCCCAGAACTGTTCAACTGCACCACCATCACCTTCAGCCAGCTCAAAAAACTGGTATGTGTCGCTAGCGGGAATCCGGCGTGCTCCTCCATGCCATTTCCACATGTCCCCCCCTTTCCACATAACCCTCACTGGTGTCTCACATGACCTCCCTCCAGAACGAAGATCTGCATCGTAATGAGTCTCTGATGGATGGCAAGTGGTCCAAGAGCATTGCCCACATGCTGCAGAACGCCACCCTACACACGCGCAGCTTCCATGGCAATGACGTGAGGACGGCGTACCAGTTGATCCTGCGTGTGCTGCAGTATGAGAGTCAGCAGGAGGGCTTTGATTTGGCTGCCACCCACGACGTGGAATTCAACCAGGTGCTGTGCCCCCTGTTCCCAGGACGCTCCTCTATGGCTGTCCCCAGTGGCGTCCCGGTCCAAAGTCAAATGACTCTAAATGACATTAGCAGTCATGCTGATAAATGAGGATGCATTTATCATAAAGGAAGATGTGATTCATAGAGGAAGATGTGTCACTTATAAAGCAAGACACATCACTCATAGAGGAAGACACATCATTCAGAAAAGAAGATGCCTCCAGCCAGTATGGCCATTTGGTTCTTCTGGTTTTACTTCATGGGTGGTGTATGCCGTGCAGGTTTATACTGGCTGAGTGATGTGGATATACTGGCTGAGTATGGCCTGTTACATGTGCCCATCAGTGTAGGTTTCCCTCTGGGAATCAGGCCTGACTGTTATATGAGAGTAATGCAGCGTGTGAGCGTATCGTGATTCATGAACTGTCTGGGACCAGGGACAGCCTGACATGGGTTTAGAGACTCTAGGTCAGCAATAGGCATTTGTGGAATCCTCTGCAGCAGGTCTGGGGCAGGGAACTGGTGATGAGCTGGCCTTGACACTTGACCCTCCTTCGGTCCCATCTGCTAACTGACCTTCTTGTGAACCTTCCAGAACATCATCAGCGCAGGCAGTGCCATCCTAAACTCCAAAAACAAGGAGCACTGGGATCAGATTCAGCGCTCTGAGGGTGGTACTGCTCACCTGCTCCGGTACTTCGAGGAATACACAAACACCGTGGCTCAGAACATGAGGAGGACCTACCTGAAGCCCTTCACCATCATCACAGAGAACATGAGTATGAGTGTTTCAGATTTTACCTGGCCAAGTATGCGCCTTTGTTTAATCAGAAATGCAAATGATTCTTCTAATGAAGTCAGACCATGCCAAAGGTGTCTCATCTAGGTTATCTGATCATTATGTGTGTGCAGATGCGCAAATGTATCCATGTCTTTCTGTTCATGCCCAGTTGTTGCCGTCGAGTACCTGGACACTTCCAATCCAGACCATTCCAAGATCCCCCGCTTCCATGAAATCCAGGACACTTACCCCAAAGACCTGGAATCTTCCGTCCTATTCCCTGAGATTAACTTTAAGGCAACAGAGAGCAATGGTACGTTCGTCCAGTTCTGAGGACATGTTCTGTTAGTACGGTGGTGTGTAGAATCCATCCGGCTTGCTTGTGGTTGTAGTACAGTCCAGGTTAGTCTCTGCTCACACATAACCACCCAATGCAATATCAGTCCTATGTTGCCACCATATATGGCTGCTCTGATTTAATGTATAAACATTCCACATACAAGCTGCTAGTTTCACCTCCACATATTATTGTTCCGATGGTAGGAGCTCACACACACAGGCCTTCATCTAGATAAGACTGTCAGCCATGAGTTGATCTGTCTAAGGAAGACTCCCCACTCCCTGGTGTAATCCCAGGCTTTATTTATCACTGAAATAAACTCCTCCCCCAATAGTGTAAATAATTTGCCTACAGGTCACCCTGAGCTCTCTCTATGGCCTTCCACAGCGGAGTCCACAGAGACTCCTCCATCTCAAACGGACGCCATGGACCAGGATGGGCCGGCAAATACCAGGAGGAGGCGCCATGCGGAGAGCGGCAGACTGCCTCCTGTCGGCATGGTGATCGTGTACCGCTCCCTGGGTCAGCTCCTCCCCGAGCAGTACGACCCGGACAGACGGAGCCTCAGGTGCGGTTTGTTTCTGTGACCCGGGATCTTTAGCGGGCCAGGGGAGAACAAGAGCCACGGCAAGTGACGGGAGCAGACGTGAAATGGCCTGCGTGTAACAGAACACAGGCCCCAGGCTGAATCGTAAACGATGCAGCACAGTGTTGACCCAGTAGGCACAGAGCTGACAGCGGGAAAGACTGTATTTATACAAATGTAGAAATGTCTAAATATTTAACTGCACTAATGAATGGTGGATTGAACAATGCACACAGATACTGCTGTCAATTGTGCAGCGCCTAAAATTAGCCTCTTCGCATTGTAGGCATGTATGAGTAGGTGTGTTAGTGGGCAGAACGTAGCTCAGGGTGGCTGGTGCAGTAATAATATCTCCGCTGGGCCTTGAGCAAAGCCCTTAACCCCACCCTAACCCTAACCCTAACCCTAACCCCACCTTAACTCTAACCCTGACCCTGCTCTTTGACCCCATCACCTTTAACACAAACAAACGGTCTTTTCCTTTTTATGTTCAGGTTGCCAAACCGGCCTGTCATCAACACCCCCATCGTGAGCACCACGCTGTACAGTGAGGGGGGGGGGCTATCCAGCCCCCTAGAGCAGCCCATCACCCTGGACTACACCCTGCTGGAGACCGAGGAGCGCACCAAGCCACTCTGCGTCTTCTGGAACCACTCCATCTCGTAGGCACCATCCTTCTACCCTGATACCCCCACCCACCCCCCCATGCATTACATGGATATGTCACGCCCCCGCTGTCTTCTGGTTCCTAACAGGGTTGGAGGGACAGGTGGCTGGTCCTCAAGGGGGTGTGAGCTGGTCTACAGGAACTCCAGCCACATCCGCTGCCAGTGTAATCACATGACCAGCTTCGCCGTGCTCATGGACATCTCCAAGCGAGAGGTAGACCTTCCTCTGTGCAGATCCTCTTCTTCATGCATGGACCTTCTTCCCCTTCAGGAGACCTGGTTAATAACCCCCCCGCCCCTGCCTCCCCTATCCAGCATGGGGACGTCCTTCCCCTCAAGATCGTCACCTACACCACGGTGTCTGCCTCGCTAGTAGCCCTTCTCCTCACCTTCATCCTGCTCGCCGCCGTCCGCAAGCTACGCTCAAACCTGCACAGTATCCACAAGAACCTGGTGGTCGCCCTCTTCTTCTCTGAGCTTGTCTTCCTCATCGGCATCAACCAGACTGAAAACCCGGTGAGGCTCCATCCCTGACCGCACACATCAGTCCAAGAGCACTTTGCTGGTGTTCTTCACATCCTGGTCTGGGGTGGCCCACCCTGTGGCCTCCAAAAGGCTGTGATAAACTGAAACTTCAGCCCTCCAGTACCAGGGGGGTTAAGTTGTCACAGTGAAGACACTTTCTCTCCATAGTATGGTGAAGCTCCTTCAGTGCAGTCACCCGTGATCTTTCAATCTGCAAAAATATTTGGTGCCTTAATGAAACGTTTTAGGTAAGCCCAAAGCCTTGATTAGATGATTCCTCATTGGTTACTCCTGTCCTGGAAAAAATAGAGAGATTAACTGGTGATACATCTTCTGTGTCCTTCTGTGATGGGATTATCAAATGATTAGTAATACTAGGAGAACATGGCACTTGTTAGGGGCAAACCGATTTGACTGCATTCCTGGTCCTGCCGAGGACACACAGATACAGCGGCTGCCTGTAGCTGGGTGGATCTGAGGCCAGCGTGGCAATTAAAGTGGAGATTTATGGGTAAAGAGCAAGTTGTACTTCTGTCGACCGTGTTGAAAGCAACAGCCTTGGGCAGAGCCAGGTACAGAACTGGCATTGTTTACCCAGAGAGCTCCCATATGTTAGGGATGAAAGAATATTAGTACTCTGTAAAACTGTCTGGCAGAATGTACCTCTGTGTACCGATTCTTACATTTCCTCGTCTGGCCTACAGTGGTAATTATTAAAATATGTATTCTTAGCATCAAGTATAACAGTGTATTAACTATGTAAGATGCATGTATTCACATCAAAAAATATATTTGTAATTGTATACACATTGGGAGGGTCCTTTTTCCCCATCGTGCAGGATTATTTGTGATTTACTGCCAGCTCTGTAATTATAGTTTCACACAGGTTAGGGCAGCTCTGTCCTTGGAAAGGTGCCAGCGTGAGATTATGGTCTGTTTGCTGCTTTCGATCAGTGCTCAAGGAATGCTGAAGGTGTGGCTTCCTGCTCTGCTGGGGGGTAGGGGGGGGGGGGGGGATGAGGATGTTCCCCGGGCCCCCCGCCCCTCTTCAGAAAGGGGTGGTGGGGGGGGGTAGTTGTCATGTACAGAATGACAGGTTAGGGGGTGCTCACTTAGGGTCTGGGGTGGGGGTCCAAGCTGAATGTCTGGGGGAGTCCTTGCTGAGTGTCTAAGAGAGTCCAAGCTGAGGGTGGCGGGGGGTGGGTCCAAACTGAAGGTCTTGGGGGGGGCCTAGCCATACCTGTTGTGGAGTTCCTGAGTCCTCCAGGAGCACCTGGTGGCCTGAGATGAGTAATGTGGTCACCACTTATGCCCCCCCACACATCTTCATGCTCAGACCTCCTGCAGCTCCTTGCGTGGGTGACCCACCTCTAAATGGGTCGGGCCATCACGCAACTGGCCTCTCACACCAGGCAATAGACGTCAGTCCCTCTGACTGGAGTTTCTCCTTAGAGGTCCAGGAATCTGTCTACTCAGGTTCTTCTGATTTGGGAAGAGGGTCATGCTCATCCTGATTTCCCATCTGCTCTCTTGCAGTTCGTGTGCACTGTCATCGCCATCCTTCTGCACTACTTCTACATGTGCACCTTCGCTTGGATGTTTGTCGAGGGCCTGCACATCTATCGTGTGCTAACCGAAGTGCGCAACATCGACCACGGTCATATGCGCTTCTACTACGCCATTGGCTGGGGTATCCCCGCCATCATCACTGGTAAGAGCCACCTCTTGCCCGCCCACTGGCTCTCTCACTATTGGCTGCTCATATAGGATGTCCTCTCACACCATGGAAGCACAGTGGGGAGGAATGCTAAGTTACCAGGAGGATTTGCTTTCACTGCAGTTGGTGCAGTTTCTTATTCGTTGTGGAGCCCCTGATGTGTTTTTTTGGGTCTTCCTGCAGGTTTGGCGGTGGGCCTTGACCCACAAGGCTACGGGAATCCTGACTTCTGTTGGCTGTCTGTCCATGATACCCTCATCTGGAGCTTTGCCGGACCCATCTCCATCGTGGTTCTGGTAAGCCCATGATGGGATCTCTTCCTCTGTGGGCATTTTCGTTAATTAGCTCTATGGGTTTTATGTCTAAAGTAATCATACGTATAAAATGAATTGCAAACCTGAAATCCACAACTTGACCTGTAGCCATACATTTTGCAAGTACACTTATACTGTGACATTAACAACAACGGATTCACACATTCAGTTCTCACTGAATGTCTTGCACTCTGGGTTTCTCATTTTATGATTATGAGTAATTTAGACAATTTGTGGCCACTAATGTGCAACTGATTTGTAGGTGTAAGTAGACCGTGCTTGCTAATCATTGTGGAGGTAATCCAAAATTGTTGGCATATCACTGAAACCAATTCCTTTATTCAGGAATCCAATCATTCATCCGTTGCACTGTTTTTATTGTACCATCATTAGATTCTTTTAGAAGCTTTTTATTTCATATTTGTAAGGCTTGCTGGGCATGCATTGTACTTGTATTTTATTTGTAGCTTCTGCTTTCAGCCCTGCCACCTCAGCTCTCTGGAGCTCTTCAATTGGCTTACGCTCATCAGAACTTGATAACAATGAGATAATTTGTCAAAATCCATTGGCCACTGGCAACATAACTTTCCCCACATATCTAGTGGTTTGTAGTAGTCGTACAAAAGTTGTAAATGCATGAAATGCGATTTGTAATCGCAGCCTGAACATTGTAAACTCGTAAACTCGAATTCGCAATTGTAAAATCAGGATTGTACTCATGAAACTTAGGTGGCAGGCAGAGGTGCATATTTGCAGCTCTGAATATGGATTTGCATTTCATGAAATTACAAGATCATCATGACATTTATGATAGATATCTTTAGATGGTAATTTATCTCCATAGAGCTCTGCCTGAGACTCCATATCTGTCCATCCAGAATCCAATTTCCATATTCCGGGATCTGCGGTTTGGCCGAGAATCTGTCACCACATGTGTGCTGGTTTCACTGCTGTCTGTTATCATGAACCAGTTCCTCACCACCTCCACAGGTCAACATTGTGGTGTTTGTGTTGGCTGCGAAGGCCTCTTGCGGACGGAGACAGAGGATGTTTGAGAAAACGGGCATCATGTGAGTGCTCAGAACCACTGAAGAATTCCCATGAAACAGGACATTCAGCCCTGCAGCATGTGTGAGATACGGGCCTCGTTGGAGGCGGTCCCTGCTCCAGGCCCCCTCACTGACAGCCTCCATTTCCCCATCTCCCTTCCAGATCTGCACTCCGCAGTGCCTTCCTGCTTCTGCTGCTTATCAGTGCCACCTGGTTGCTGGGCCTGATGGCGGTCAACAGCGATGTCATGACATTCCACTACCTCTTTGCTATCTTCAGCTGTCTGCAGGTGGGGGCTTCCTCCCCAGAGCACTGTGTCCTTTGCACCTGGGTCTCCGGCTACCCTTTGTTACTCTAAAGCCAACAATACACTTGACCCAGCACTCAGCATTTAATTTCATTTGGGGGCTGAACACTGAAGATGATGCTGTGTCTGTATCTGCAGGGGTGTAGTGTAGAGGCTCATGCTTATGGGGTGGGGGTAGAGGGGCATAGGAATGTCTACTCCTGATAAGAGAATGTGCTTGTAAGGCTAAATATGGCTGGGGTCTCACATAGATTTTCTCTATCTCCTTTTTAGGGCATATTCATCTTCTTCTTCCACTGTGTTTTTAATAAAGATGTCCGAAAGAATCTCAAGAATGCCTTTAAGGGCAAGAAGGCCCTGCCGGAGGAGTCGGGCATCACCCGCACCACCCTACTGACTGTAAGCGCAAACACAGTGTCTGCCCATCGCAGGATGCCCACTCTGCCCCCCCAAATGGCGGTGCTCATCAGTTCTTTATGATGTTGGAGTACTTTGTCCAATGGGATCCCATGAGTGGATGAGCAGGCGTGTAGGAGTTTGGGAGGAGGCAGTGTGGAGGAGAGGATGAGCAGGCGTATAGGAGTGTGGGAGGAGGCAGTGTGGAGAGAAGGAGGAGCAGGTGTGTAGGAGTTTAGGAGGAGGCAGAGTGTGTAGAGAGGAGGAGGAGCAGGCGTGTAGGAGTTTGGGAGGAGGCAGTGTGGAGAGGAGGAGGAGCCGGTGTGTAGGAGTGTGGGAGGGGGCAGTGTGGAGAGGAGGAGGAGCCGGTGTGTAGGAGTGTGGGAGGAGGCAGAGTGTGTGGAGAGGAGGCGGAGCAGGCATGTAGGAGTTTGGGAGGAGGCAGTATGGAGAGGAGGCGGAGCAGGCATGTAGGAGTTTGAGAGGAGGCAGTATGGAGAGGAGGAGGAGCAGGCTTGTAGGAGTGTGGGAGGAGGCAGTGTGGAGAGGAGGAGGAGCAGGTGTGTAGGAGTTTGGGAGGAGGCAGAGTGTGTGGAGAGGAGGAGGAGCAGGCATGTAGGAGTTTGGGAGGAGGCAGTGTGGAGAGGAGGAGGAGCAGGCGTGTAGGAGTGTGGGAAGAGTCTGTTGTTCTCTGTTACTCTGCTTTGCTGTGTCTGATGTCAGTCAGATGCTGTCAGTTACACATCATGGTGCTAATGCTGCCCCTCCCCCCACAGCGCTCACTGAACTGCAACAACACGTACACAGAGGAGGGCGCCCTGTACCGCACGCCTATCGGGGAGTCCACCGCATCCCTCCAGCCCAGCGTCAGGTCAGCCAAGAGCCTGCATGGCTACCTTGCTTATGCGCTCAGGTAACAGGTGATGGGTGCATGGCACTCTTGGCTTCTCTACCTTTTACTTCTCCGCCCTCACGCTCCTCCAGCCTCCTGCTTCTCCACCATCCACTCTTCCACCCTCCCACTCCTACCTTCAGTCCTCCGCCTTTCGTTCCTTCGCCTCACGCTCCCCCACCGTCTGCCCTCACTTTTCCATGCAGCTTCACACCCGCTTCTGCATGCACACGGCAATGGTTTCATGCAACAGCTCTCTCTGTAAGTGCTCACTTAACCTCATGGCCCAGCACCCCCCCCCGGCTCAGATGGATGTGGGCCTCCTGGGGTCTGTTCAGTGTTCTACCTCAAGGCGCTGAACCACATGAGCGATGATGTCACGGTATGATGCCGTGGGCGGCCTCGGCCTGGCCCCCCACTGACGTACGGCACTCCCTCTTTCCCCATCCCCCCCCAGCAGGGACGACTCGGGGCAAAAGGCCAGTGTCTCCTCTGGCACGGCCAAAGCAGCACACCCCGATGGGGATTCCTCCGTCTTCCACCGGAAGGGCATCAAAGAGGAAGGTAGGTTCACTGGCGGCTGTGTCCCAGCGCCGTTGGGCTCCTCGCGTGTGTCTCTGCCGTGTGTCACATTCTGACCCTGTAACCCTGCTCACCCAGACTCAGACTCAGACAGCGAGCTGTCTGCAGACGAGCACAGCAGTTCCTATGCCTCGTCTCACTCCTCTGACAGTGAAGAGGACCAGCCAGATTCCAAAAACAAGTGGAACCCCAGCACACCCAAGAACAATGAGCGGCAGCCACTTCACAGCACTCCCAAAGGTACCCGACCCAGCCTCTGACCCCGCCTGAGCAACCAACCAACCAATCACACTCACTCACTCACTCATTCAGCACACTTAAAGGTACCCAACCCAGCCTCTGACCCCGCCCAACCAACCAACCAATCACACTCACTCACTCATTCAGCACACTTAAAGGTACCCAACCCAGCCTCTGACCCCGCCCAACCAACCAACCAATCACTCTCTCACTCACTCATTCACTCACTCACTCAGCACACTTAAAGGTACCTGATCCTGACCCCCGCCTGTACACTCATTCACCCATATGGTCACTCTCATTCACTCACTCACTCATTCACTCAGTCATTCATCACCTTTACTCATGCATCATTCACTCATGTATTCACTCACTTATACAAAGACTCACTGATTCATTAGCTCATTCACAAATTCATTCACTCATTCACTTACTCATTAATTCACTTATTTACTGTCTCACTCATTCACTCACTCACTCACTCACTCATTCTTTCCATCATTCACAAATAACTCATTCATTGACTCACTTTCTTACTGACTCACTTGTTCACTCCCTGCCGCTGCCATCCAGTGGATCCTGTCGCCAATCACGTCAAGCCGTACTGGCCGACAGAGGCGATGACGGCCAGTGACAGCGAAGAGCTGGGAGGGGTGGAGAACCTGCGAGTGGAGACCAAGGTGAACGTGGAGCTGCACCTGGAGAACAAGCTCAACCACATGAGAGAGCCCACGCAGGAGAAGGAGACACCCTGCACGGAGGCCATAGCGCCCCCTAGCCAGCTGAACAGCAACCATCACCCGGAGCAGAGGAGGGGTGAGGGGGATTAGGATTATTGCCTGGGGCACTTGCTTTGAGTATTTGGGGTACTTACCGTGTTTCCTGCCTTTTCAGGGATTTTGAAGAACAAGATCAGCCACCCGCCTCCCCTGGCCGACAAGAACATGAAGAACCGCCTGCGGGAGAAGCTCTCTGACTATAATCCCCCCACCATCTCCAGCAGGCCGCCGGCGGACATGCCTAAGGAGCACGGGAACAACCACAGCATGATCATCAAGCCCCCCCAGAGGTCCGCCGTTATCCTCAGGGAGCAGGCTAACGGCATCGGCGTGAACCTGCAGGGCGGCACCGTCAACGGCGGAGATGGCACTGACTCCGAGTGAGTGGTCACCTGGTCCGCAGCGGCGGATGAAGGCCCGCAGAGTAGGGCTGCACGATTTGGGGAAAATATCAAATTGCGATTTTTCTGACAGAAATTGCGATTATGATTTGATTTGCGATTTAATTTTTTTTTATGTGAAGCTTCAGTTCAATATTCAGTGTGTAGTAATTTTAAAACATATAACACAGCATGAGATACCATCAGTATTAACTGGTCTATATTCTAATGCAAGGATGAGTATTTAAAGATGTGATGTGTCAAGTTAAATAAAGTAATAATGAAAACAATGGCAGCAAAAAGAAAAATATCGATCTTGCAGGTAACGCTTATTACCCTCCTAATAACACTAGAACCGCCTTTTCCCACCCAATGAACAAGCAAGAACTACTTCGGTGTATGCAGTCCTTTTGTTTGCCCTATTGTGTTGTTAGCTGGTGTTATTAACACTAATAACACTCAAAAAACCGAAATGTTCATAACAGAGTGGCTGTTCTGTCCTGAAACCGTAAAGCTGGAAATTTTTAAACGTAGTATGCATTTTATAAAATATTGAATAAATAGAAGTCGTTCATTGGTGATTTCATGTTGGTCGAAGTTTCCGCTTCTTAACAACTGTATACGGGTATTTTCTGTACAAATCAATTCAGGTGAAACAAAAAATGTACGTGTTCATGGCTGCAAACTCTTTCAGACTCTCACGCAAGAAATCTTACGGCAAATCTATATTCTGTTCTGAACTTAAAATTAGCTGCATCAAAAACGTTACGGCAGTTTGCAAACCCTACAGACTATTTACAAGGTAATTAAACTTACATACATGTAAATGTGTGTGCAGAACAGAGAACAGAAAATCTCACTCCATGCGGCTGACCGAAGTTGCCAACCCGGCATTTTCTTTTAAATGAGAAGTAAAATGCAGTTTTTGACTGAAGCAGCTTATCATTCCTTTGCTTTCTTACTCGGACAAATACAAAACGAATGATTAAACATTATATGCATCTCTTTTTGTATGTTTTCTAAATAAGACCGCGTGCCCATACCCAACCTTAATAGCGATTAAAGCGATCTATTCTTTTAGTATTTATGTTAAAGCAAGATTTTTATTTTATTAATGTTGTGGGATTAATATTTGGAAACACTTAAATTTAATAAGCACAAAAACATATGACATAAACACGACTGTATTGTGGGTTTTTACGTCTTTTTTGGAGGTCACCGACTCCGCTGCTGTGAGAATTATACGGACTGTCTCGTTGTTTTGATGGGTTAGCGGTATACTAATGCTATTGCTTATTAACAAAAACCAAAGGTATGATACCCTGAAGTATATTGCAGCTTGTCAACTTTGAATGTTGATCTGGTCCCGGGCTAGCGATATGCTGAACGATCATTTCCACTGATGACAGGCAGCATCCAGCCAGCCAGCCACACTTCCGGGCGCTGTCGTAATCGCAAGTGTAAACGTTTCATAGAGTGTTTAACAACGTAAGACGCGTAAGGTATTTAACCAAATTAACTTGTATTCATTTATTTACATTTTTTTACTTTTCAATTACTGGTATTCACTTAGTTGCAGTACTTATTAACTCATTCAGGGACAGTGTTTATATACTGCACATTTATTCACATTTATTTGTTTGTCTATTCATATTCGACTTAAATATTTTCCATTTACGGTGGGCTAAGCCTCTGTGCCTGTGATCCGAGGGTTGCCGGTTCGAGTCCGGTCTTGGCCCGTCTGTGACCCCTTGAGCAAGGCCCTTAACCCCCAGCTCTCTGGGTGCTGCCACAGGTGGCTGCCCTTCAAAGCCAACTTGCTTTCACCTACAGAGAGCAAGTTGGAGGAGGTGTGAAGAGAGTTTCTCCATGGGGATCAATGAAGTATCAATTATTATTAACTACACTGTCGAGGAGCACCTGTGTTTTGTCTGATCTGGATCAGGGTTATGACAGCAGTTGGCTGACGGTGTGTGTGTGTGTGTCTGTTTGCTCACGTCATCCTCACTCTGTCTCTCTCTCTCTCCGTATGCAGTGGCAGCAATGAGACTTCAATCTGACTCATGAGGATGCCGATGGAGGTCCTTCACCTGTGAGGGGAGGGTGGCTGGTCTGAGCCCCCCCCACCCCCACCACGACTTTGCGCAGGGACCGGTGTGCTACTCAGCTCCTGTGGAGAACAGTGTTACACAGCCAAAAAGGGAAAGACTGTGAGCGACTGGCCGTCAGACAGGCCCATCCACTCCGTGCCAAACCTCTGCGTGGGGAGAAGAAGGCCTTACTGACTACAGCCAGCAGCCAGGAGCATGTGCCTTGTTACACTATACTGTCACTAGGGGGGGCTGCTTCCCACTGCTTTTCATCACCACTTTCAAAAAGACGGCATTGTGTTCTTTCTGCCGCCAGAGAAGAATGCAGTCTCAACAGAATGGCCTTTGCGTGTAAAATTAATTTGTAGATACTTTTCGAATGGTTTATTTTGTACTTTATTGGTTTTATAGCACAGATGGAGAGGAAAATGCTAATTTGTAAATTGTAATTAGTATTTTTTTACTGAGTATCAGCACGAGAGGATCTGCTCTTGACTTAAACTTTACTGCTCTGTCATGTTTAGATTGTACATTTGTGTCTGATGTTACTGTGACGTGCAGCTGGGTGAAGATCTGAAGGCTGCTTATTCTGGGAATGTGTGGAGAATGTAAACTATTAGAGAGTCAGGAGATATACTGAATATGGGTGTGGTCTACACTAGTGCCTATTTTGTGATGTAGGTCCACTTGCATCATTTAAACTGGGAAATGCACTCAGTTCAGATAATGGAGGAGCTGATCTTTAGACTACTGTGGGCATGTGGAACAATACGGTTATTGATGTCTGGCTCCATCAGAACCATGGAACCTCAGATGTTCTGGAGAACCTCCGTTCTCTGTGAACTGGCCCTTTGTACAGGGTTCTGCTTCCCTCAAAGCAACACCATCTCACATGTGGTGGGTAAACAACAGCACAGTCGAATCAGGCCAGCATCCAGCTGGAGACACCATGTTCCTGCTGCTAAGTCCAGGAATAATGAAAGTCTAGAAAGTGTCCCAGTATCCAGGAATGGGGTAACTGGAGAGTGCCACCAAGGCCCAGAATTCACACACTGCTACGATACGAAAAGGCTTGGAAATATGAGAATCCGCCTCCTGGGTGCATCGTTCGGACGTCATCGCTTCATGGAAATGGACTTGTAATCCAAACCACCTTCCACATCAGGCGAGGCCTACAATAGTGTCACATAAACCCATTTGTATCACTCACTGTTGTCGTAGTATTATGATAAAAAATGTTGCCATGGAGACGGCATGCTGGAAGGGGGGGTGTCCCTGTTCTATTGCCACAGAGCAAAGCTGAAGGACTCTAACTCAAATGCACAAGCTCGGCTATGAATGTAGTGTAACTACTTTAACCGGTAGCTCTTGCTCTGTGGAGTGTCCACATTGGCCGCTTGCAGGGTTGGTGCCACGCCCCTAACGCCCCCCTCATCCAATAAATCTTTTTTTATCCCCAGAAGTGACCTGATCTCTCTGTTGTGTTTCTGAAAAGCTGGTGATATTTTCATAGACACTGGAATCCTTTTGTAACATAAGTGTATTTATTTTTATTGCTTAAGGACACTGGAAAAGAAAACATGGTAAAAATTAAAATGAAGCAAAATTTTTAGACGTCTCCTGTCTTTCATGAAGTTTACGGGCTAAAGGTGATCATTGAGGTCTTGATGTCAACATCGTTGGCTGTTATGAATATAGGATCTGAGCTTACCTGGTTCTTCAGCTGTGAATCACTCCTGACAGAAAGCTGGTGACCCTCTGTAGGTGGAGATGAATCCCAAAGCTTCCTGTCAGCACCCCCCTCACCGGCCCAGATTTCATGTTTCATCTACGGGTGCGAGACGCCAACTGCCAGCCCCTTATTCCAACTGCCCTTGTTTTCCTTCCTAACCACAAAAAGACCTTGCAGCTCTTCATCTGGGTCCCATGGCAATCATCCTTTCCCTTTATTGTCTTTTTATTTATGGAGGCTGAGAATTTGTCCCCGAGTGAAATTAAGGAGCAAGACAGTTACTGAAATGCTTCAAAGTGCAAATGAAAAGCTGGTTCTTGGTGCCTGGAGCTGTGAAGCATTCCAGTGGAGAAGTATCTGAGGTGCTTCAGGATGTGCCTTCAGGAACGGGAGCATTCCAGAGCCAGAGTGCTGGAGAGACCCACAGCCTCAAGGAAATCCATGAGCAAGCCCCAACCTTCATATGAAGGAATGTGCGTGATGACCCTGGGCTCTGTCTATCTGGTCTGCCTGTGTTCTGCCTCTCATCACCGGACAGCTTTGAGCCTAGTGGGTGGGCATGGACGGCCTGGAACACAGGAATGCAGGTTCTGCCCAGGCTAGACCTCCTCGGTGGGATGAATGAAATCACAAAACCCCCTATCTGTTCACGGGGACTTATCATCAGAACCATGAGCATATTGAAGGAATGATGACCTCACTTCTGAAGAGCGATGATATAACAACATTTTTTCTTATATTTTTTTATATGTAACTCTCAGTGTCCCTGGGATTAGAAACAAAAACATACAATCTATTACAACTTGCATAATTTCACTGGTTTGGATTATCTTATATTTTTTATCCATTTATCATTTAAGGTGAGTTTATCACCAGTGATTACATCATCATTGACGGTCAGGGTGAACGTAGCCTGATTGCAATGCTTAGAGGTAGTGAGGCGACAATCTGGAGTTGCAGATGTGGAGATTTAGAGTTTGGAGCGTCTTTGGCAAAGTCTGTGCTCATATTCAGTGACACCAAATGTATTGAAGCAGCGGCGTAGTGGCAGCAATCACCCGTAATCGGAGCCATCGTTTACATATCATGGCTGAACCAGTTTTATAACTATGTCTTCCTGGCCTGAAATATTTTTTAGTTGACGGACAAATCAAACTTCTCCTGACTGAGGAGCACCAGTAATAAGGAGCTGAACCGAGAGCTTATAGCCAGGCAGCACTGCAGGCTCACACCCCCACTCTGCGTGTGGAAATTCCCTCTGTATGGTGCAGGTTTCCTCCCACAATCATACATCTTGGAAAACTGGTGTCTCTAAATAGCCCCTAGTGTCTGAGTGTGTGCACCGCAGTGGAGTGACTTCCTGCCCAGGGGTGTCCCCTGCCCTGTGCCTTACACTGCTTGGGAAGGGGTCCAGCCCCCCAGTGACCCGGTACTGGAGGCTGGTACATGGGTGGAGGTTACATCTACATATATATACTCATATATACTATTGTATATATTGAACAAAAGTGAGTCAGTGAGAAAACTGGTATTGAAATATATGTTAATTCAGCACATATCCATTCATTTATTTTTCTAACCCACGAGATACTTTGACTAATTTACTAACTTTATTTTGGATGCAATTTAAATTAAGGACAACAATCCCAAGGTGACTCAACAGGTATCACTGCTGTCTCAGACCTCCATGGTTGGGGGCTTAAATCTGACCACTGTAACGTGTGTAAAGCTTGCATGTTCTCTCTGTGTTGCAGAGGTTTTCTCCTGCAGCCCCAGTACATAGTTAGGCTAATGGGTGTCTCTAAATTGCCCACAGAGTATGATTGTGTAGATTACAGTATTGGTTTAAGTTTCACTGCGCCCATTGTCTGAGACAAAATGAAATTGGCTTGGAAGTCGGTGCCCCCTGAGGATGTGGCACACTATAGTCGCTAATGGGTTGACCAGCACTGACTGTATATATTTGTCCTACGTTGAACGAGCATCCCAGCCGTGTGCCATGTGCTGCGTGGGGTTCCAGGCGACCCTGTTTGAAAACGGATGGATAGACAAAGGTCCCCATCTAGTGGTGTATTTAGGAATTTTTCAGAATGACGCAGGTGTTACTTTCAAACGCGGTCCGAAGATACCAAGACACATAATTTTTTTCTTTTCTAAGTTCATGTTTATGCTATTTTCAGTAAAAAGCACCTTATTTACTCCCACTTCCTGTTACTTGAACAGCAATGTGCAATTTCAGTTTACTCTTACTGCATTTTCTGTCCACCTGTAATTTTAACATGTTTCAAGGCATTACTGCGTTTTTTTTTATATGAATAATTCATACATTGATAGTAATTTATGAATAACGACTGAAGGTGAGTCAGCGGCCTCAGGTACATCTAATAAAATATATTACATAAGCAAGGTTTAAAGGAAAGCAGGGCATCCCCTAGACATGCGGCTGTGAGTCCACGCATAGCGGCGCAGGGGCGACCGCGCGGTCCCTTTAAGAACCGCGCTCACGCTGACGACATTTCCGGGCCGAGGCTGGCGGAGGGAGCCGGACGGGCAGCGTTTCGGACGGGCTCAGGCGCCCAGCGGACACGGCCGGCGGTGCCGCGTTTGCCTATCCGGACCGGGGAGTGGAAAACGGCAGATAAAGCGGAGACCCACATTGATGAAACTCCGCTGCCGTTTACGAGTTGGGTAAGAGACATGAAGAGGCTCGGGGGAGGCGTGTCGGTACCGACGCGACCCCGACCACCCCCTCCGCGCGGTTCCGAGGGGCCGCTCGATCTCTTTATAGGGGTCGGCGTCTGCCGCCCTGTACTGCCGTGTCGTCCACTTGTCTGAGCTCGGTCTAAGCCCGGACCCTCCGCCTGGTCCGTTACATGATGTCACAAGTGTCTGGCAGTTTGTTACTCAGCCGCACGTTCGCCGCGGCGCCTCTGGACGGGTTTGTTTATCTGTGTGTGTGTCTGTGTGGGTGTGTATCGTTGTATGTGTGTGTTTATCTGCGTGTATGTTTGTATATGCATCTGTATGCGTATTTGTGTGTGGTTGTTTACATCATATCTATTCATTTATGAGATATGAGACTGGAGGAGGACGTCATGGGTGTTTTTCCGGGAGATAATGTTCATGATGATGATGATGATTTATGACTGAACTATTGTTTCCTGGCCTTGAGAAACAAGACTGAATTGGAAATATGGCTTCACCTTCACAATGTCTCTCATTAGTACAGGACCAGCAGTCCATTTCTGCTTACCATCATTATCATCATTTTTGGTAAATAAGTCATAGAGAAGGAACTTCTTGATCTGTAGTGGGGGTAGGAAACACGGCCCCACCCACTCCACCCTCGCAAAGAGGCTCTTTGAATCCAGTCAGCAGTGTGGGGGGCCTGGGGTAGTTTTCTGTTCACCCTCCTGTGAGTCTCTCTGAATTTTGGCATTAATATTACAGGGATTTTCAGATTCACGTGTTGGTAATGTGATGCTGTTTAGGGTCACTTGTCTGTTGCCTGTTTGGACTGAATTGGCAGGCAGTCTGACCTCTGTAAGGTCTGCAGATTGCCCTGTAAGACCAAATTGTGCTTCCTGGTCGATCGACAGGGCGAAACAGGGCCTTTCACGGGGGCTGATGCGAGGCACGTTTCACATGCACTGCTTCTACCTGCAGTGAGCATGTGCTCGCTGGCTGTGTGGGCTGCCTGCTTTCCTTCTCTGCTGTCTCTAAAAATGGACCTGGATGGTGTTTCTGCTCTCAGCTCCATGTCCTGCCTCCTGTCTGGCGTGTATGCGTGAGCCTGCCGATCAAACGCCCCGTGTGTAGGACTGATATGGGAACCAGCCATCTGGCTTGACCCGCTGGGGCTGTCAAAGGACTGTCATGTTGATGGGGTGATGAGGAAGAGTTGTTCAAAGGCTGTTAAGAACAACCAATAAAGGGGCCTTTATTGAGTGCAAGTTAATATTTTATGATTGCTTTCAGAGTAAATGATTCTGTCGACTTTAGAGACATTAACAATTCCATTGATAGTGTTAGGGAGGGCTCTGCCTGTGTATACACCATGTTGGAGATAACGTCCCATCTAGTCCTGAGACCTCAATGCTGTATGGCTGCCGGGCAGGCAGGTTGTGCTGAAGTGTGACGGAATCTCGTAAATAAAACAGGTTTCCTGTTTGGAGCTGCACCCTCGCCAGCTGCCGGAGCATTCATTGTATGGCTGCTCTGTTTACAGCGGAGGTCACTTTGGTTAGGCCTGTAACACCTAAGGTAATGGAATTGTGAGGAAACTATGTGGTGACTCTGCTCTTGCACAGCGAGTCGCCTAACATGCCTGAGCCTGGTGTAGGCACAGCAGCACTGTGACCTGAGGTTTTGTGGTTTAAGATGACTTGTCATGTACCTTGAAGTAGAGTGATGTGTCATGTTTGCCTCTGGAGCTGGGTGTCAGGGCATTGGTGGGGGGTTAAGGGGAGAAATGTGAACCTGGTGAGTCTCACCTGAGTACAAGCTGACTTTCTCCACCTGTGGTGGCATTAGAGTGAAGGAAAGCTACCTTCTGCCTCCTGAGTAGAGCATGGCTCTGAATCCAAGCCCTGTCATCACCCTCTGCTGTTCACCACTTTGCACTAGGCATTGCTGTCAGCCTCCCATTTGATGGCATATTGCTTTCTAGTTGTTTTCTTCAAGACTCGTTCTTGTATTAATCATTTTGTGCGTGATTCCTTTTGATGCTGATGGAAGGAATTTGACAACCTTGGATGAGCAGTTGGATGGATGGATGTTTAGAAGGACTTTGATTCCTTAGTAAGGGGCTAAAGTTGGGCTTTGTTGATGTCAGTGTCTGAAACTCTGCAAACAAGTTTTTTTGGATAATCTACATTTTC